GGAAGCAGTGACCGTAATCTAATAGGAAAATGGCTCTTTTCCAGGTCAGAGCGGAGCAGGAAACAACTGGGCAAAGGGCCATTATACGGAAGGTGCTGAATTAGTTGATTCCGTGTTAGATGTTGTAAGAAAGGAGGCAGAAAGCTGTGATTGTCTGCAGGGCTTTCAGCTTACTCACTCCCTCGGTGGTGGTACAGGCTCTGGCATGGGTACCCTCCTCATCAGCAAAATCCGTGAAGAGTACCCAGACAGAATTATGAACACGTTCAGTGTCGTGCCCTCCCCTAAAGTCTCAGATACTGTAGTAGAGCCCTACAATGCCACCCTCTCGGTGCACCAGCTGGTGGAGAACACAGATGAAACCTACTGTATTGATAATGAAGCCCTCTATGACATCTGCTTCAGAACACTGAAGTTAACCACCCCAACCTACGGTGATCTGAACCATTTGGTGTCGGCCACCATGAGCGGTGTCACCACCTGCCTGCGGTTCCCGGGCCAGCTCAACGCTGACCTGAGGAAGCTGGCAGTCAACATGGTCCCCTTCCCCCGTTTGCACTTTTTCATGCCTGGTTTTGCCCCTCTCACCAGTCGTGGGAGCCAGCAGTACCGTGCTTTAACCGTGCCAGAGCTCACGCAGCAGATGTTTGATGCCAAGAACATGATGGCTGCCTGCGACCCCCGCCACGGCCGCTACCTGACGGTGGCCGCCGTCTTCAGGGGCCGCATGTCCATGAAAGAGGTGGACGAGCAGATGCTCAACGTTCAGAACAAAAATAGCAGCTATTTTGTAGAATGGATCCCTAATAACGTTAAAACAGCCGTCTGTGACATTCCACCTCGTGGCCTGAAAATGTCTGCCACCTTCATTGGCAACAGCACAGCCATCCAGGAGCTGTTCAAACGCATTTCTGAGCAGTTCACCGCCATGTTCCGCAGAAAGGCTTTCCTGCACTGGTACACGGGGGAGGGCATGGACGAGATGGAGTTCACAGAGGCTGAGAGCAACATGAACGACCTGGTGTCTGAGTATCAGCAGTACCAGGACGCCACAGCTGAGGAGGAGGGGGAGTTTGAGGAGGAGGGGGAGGAAGAGGCAGAGTAAAAGCTATGCAGATGATGAGCACGTGTAAATTTTGTTTAAAGCTGTACGAACTCTTTCATTCTGAACTTCTCTGTCCGTGTTGTGTTCCTTTTCCTGTTTCCAAGTCACTTCTGATGCTGTACAGGCACCATTAAAGCATTTTTCACAGTGCACCAGCTCGTCTCCTTTGTTCATTCTGGTAGGCTTTGCGGGTGCTGTTCCCAAAAGTCAGCGCGTAGGTGTGCCGGAGTGCTGGAAAACAGGGACCTGCTGTGAGAGCCCTGCCTTGCCCAGGGCAACCACCCTTCCCTCCCTCCCTGCCTCATGAGGCAAATGCCTGTTTGTGTCACCACTTGCTCCTGGTGCTGTGGGAATTCACTTCTCTGGTGTGGCTTTATAACCAGGGGTGCTGGCGGAGGGGGATACATTTGACATGGAGCTCAGCTCCAGGCTGTGTCTAAATTTAGGGACCTGCTTGTGGACTCCTGTTACAGACTCCACTCCCAGCAGGAGCTCAGCAGCTCCTGGCCACCACGGCAGGATGGGATCAGGTGGGGGTGTTTGGGAGCCAGAGGTTTCCCCAGCTGTGGGGCAACCACCCAGAGCAGGCAGGTTGCCACTGGCACAGGTGTTTGCCAGCCCATGAGCAGCACAGACCCAGGCAGCAGCCATGGCTGTCACCAGAAGCCTGGGGACAGCTGTGACAAGCTGTGCTGGGGCTGAGTGCAGCCTTGCTGGAGAACCAGGACGTTGGGATTTTAAACCTACAGTCTGGTGCAGCCTCCCTCCTGAGGTGAGCTGAACACCCCAGCCCAAAGTATCTCCTTAGAAACATTTTATCTCCTAAAAACCCTGTATTAGCAAATTTTCACTCTGGAAACAGTGTGTGGTGTTACCTCCAGTGAGAAACCTGTCACTCAGTAGCTGGACAGGAGCTCACAGCCTGCCTGCCTGCTGAGGACACTTCTTGGTCAGGGTTCTCAATTATAATTAATTTGGGGTTATTTTTTTCTGTCTTAAAAAAACAAGTTTCTCCTTCCAGTGTTGAACTGGTCGGAGCAGTTAGAGTGGCCCTCCCAGAGGCTGCTGGGGCAGGGGAAGGGGCTGCAGACACAGGTGGTTGGTGTCAGACCTACACAGAAGAACGTTTCTGTAGGTGAAAAGATGACAATGGATTTTTTTAAAGCATGAGGCAACACTTCAAGCAGTTGATTTTTATCCTTGATTTTAGGGTGGGGGTTTTTTTCTTCTCATTACATGAAGTGGCATGTCCCCCCTGGCAGGTTCTGAGGAGGGACAGTGCTG